TTTAACAGAGCGAGGAAATTTTCACAGTATGTCGGATAATATTTTTTTCTTCTGGAGAAAGTCCTATTTGTTTTATTTCAGCTAGAATAAAAGCAGTTTTTAATTTTGTAAACACCATTGTAAGGACTAAATCATTAGCCCCTTTAAACTATATATTTTTCCGATAGTCTACAGAACAAGCCATTATTATATAATAACTTGATTAATTACCCTAACCTGCCTAGTTAACCTAATTAAATGCTTCTAAATGTCACTTTAAGCTGTACAGAAGTGTCTTGAAAAATATCTAGTAAAATATCATTTACTGTCATCATGGCAAAGATAAAATAAATCAGTTATTAAAAATGAGTTGTTAAAACTATTATGTTTAGAAATGTGTTGAATTGATCTTCTCTCCGTTAAACAGAAATTGGGGAAAAAATAAATAGGGGGCTATTAATTCAGGGGGGCTAATAATTCTGACTTCAACTGTATATGTATATTTTCTGCTCATTGTAAATGGGATAATGAGGAAGTAACACACACCTGGCCATGCAACAGCTGAAAAGCCAATTGTCTCATTAGTTTTGGTCCCTTAACAAGTGGGAGGCACATATGCAAACTGTTGTAATTCCAACACTGTTCACCTGATTTTGATGTAAAAAAAAACCTTAAACTAAAGCTGACAATCTGCAGTTAAAGCACATCTTGTTTGTTTCATTTCGAGTCAAAAATGTTAGAACTGTGTCGATGTCCCAATATTTATAGACCTGACTAAATAAATGAGCTGAAAAAACAATCTAAAGTAAATATAAATATACTTATAAGTATAAAAATCAACTGTTTTATTACACATCTATAGTACACCACCAAATATATTTTATTAATACATTTATTTAATGTAGCATATTCTTTGTTACAAAAATAGGATGAAAAATGCTGCTTTTATTGGGAAATGTGATCATTTTGTTATATTATATATTTTTATCTTGATTGTTTGATTGTTTTTTAATTTATTTGAAAGTTTAACATAACAAAGACTATGTGAGAACATATTACAACAAAAACCTGTTTCTGTCTTTGTGCTTTGAGGTATTTGTTGAATAGCAATAGCAATTTCTGAGTGAAAAGTGCTTTGGCGTCTTTCTTATTTACAGTTTGCTTTTATTTAGTTGTGCAGTCATCTGTTTACTGGACAGAACACAATATATCTGTCCTGTATAAATCCGTTCTGTGCAGTAAATGGGATGGATGGTGCTCCTGTCATATTTTATCTTTGTAGATCTGACTCCTGTATAATTCAGAGGAAACAGAGAAATATGGACAGCGAGAGTGTAGGAAAGACAAAGAGAAATGAGACCAGAGACATACTGTCAAAGGCCATGAGCAAGTGAATGTTGATGCGGGCTTTAGATAACAGGGGATTAGTGTTGTCAGAGATGTCCTGATCACACCCCGCTGCTTTCTGCCAGATGTGTGGAGCTGAAAAGGACTGTCTGTCTCACCAGCTCTGGACTTCTCTTTCCTCAATCATAATAAGACCAAAGCCATCTTGAGCAAACTATCCGCTTGTTAAGTTGTGCCATATGGAAAGCTGCTTCTGGGTCCAAATCTCTTCTCATTTTACCATAGAAGAATATCTGTATATCTATTTATGAGCACTCCTGGAAAATCCTGGGAATTTTCAAAGCTGGAAACCTTCTAAAGAAATTATTAGGAAAAATATGGAAATGAATGGGAATAACTTAATTTTTAATCTGAGTATTGTCTTAATTGTATTACAATCGGACTATTGGTGTCCATGCAAACATACTAACTGAAGGTTGATTCACTGAAACTTGGAAATGATTTTCAGTGCAGCAGCTTAATATTTTTATATTTTCGGTGTTCTACAGTTTATATGAATTTCTATTTTCGACTGGGAGAGTATATGCTGTTTCCCAGCACTGGGGGTTCATGATTTAGTTTACTCTGAGTGCTGGGTTGTGGACGAAAAGGCATCCGCTGCATATTACATATGCCTGAGTAATTGGTGGTCCATTCCACTTTGGTGACCAAGCAAAAGGAAAGTGAGTGAGTTTCTGGTAACTTACCAGATTTTTTTCCGCCTCTTCGCAACCCAAGTCATATTGAGCAAATATTTCACAAAATCCAAGTAGTTACATAGTTTGGACTTGCTGCATCCCAGAAGCCATTAATTTAATATTTATTGGTGAATGTTCGTGGATATACACTATATGATTTTCAGTAGCATTACAACACACTCTTCGGCTTAGTCCCTTTATTAATCCGGGGTTGCCACAGCTGAATGAACCGCCAACTTATCCAGCACGATTTTACACAGTGGATGCTCTTCCAGCCGCAACCCATAACTGGGAAACATCCACACACACACTCATTCACACACATACACTACAGACAATTTATTCTACCCAATTTACCTGTACCGCATGTCTTTGGACTGTGGGGGAAACCGTAGCACTCGAAGGAAACCCACATGAACGCAGGGAGAACATGCAAACTCCACACAGAAACGCCAACTGTATAATATAATATAATAAAATATAATACTATATATATATATATATATATTTTTTTTTTGTATTTTATGTTGATTTGATTGCATATTAACAACCATAAAGCCAAAATACAATATTTTTTCCTCACATATTTGACCAGATTAAGTTTTTGACATAAATGGATGATGCTCTGTGCTTTTGTGATTAAAAAAAAAAAATTGAAATGTAACAGTGCCCCTGTAAGCACACTAATTTAAATAGCAAAGCCTGCATATCCAATATTAAGCAGTTTGGCTGTGGCACTGTTACACATGAAATATGCAAATAGGTTAACCAGTCATAGCAGAGGTTATTTACCGATCGAATATTAAAGTGTCAAAAAAAATCATGTGAAAAATTATTGGAAAAATCATAATTTAAATAATAACTGTGAGCTTTGATGACATGGATCTTCACAGCTGACTAACATTCCAGCTGGACTATTATAAAACAAGAAAAAACATAAAAATATTTGTTAAAATGGTTGTAAAATCACTATCATATATATATATATATATATATATATATATATATATATATATATATATATATATATATATATATATATATATATATATATATATATATATATATATATATATATCAAAGTAGAATTTCTGCAGTGCAATGTAATACCACCTCACTGGATTACAGCATAACCTTTTATTTACATAATTCTTTTTTAAATCTCTTACTTTGCGGTCACAGGGTTTTATTATGTAATGAAATATGTTTCAGTAAATTGCTTTTGCAATTTTAGATTTGATCTCTCTCTCTCTATCTGGCTGCCAATCTAAATAGGGAATGAACTGATGTGTCATTGGCACATGTGAATACAACAGATTTTGGGATACATTTACCAATGTGTGTGCTTTAATGACGAGAAAATGCATTGATTTGTAAATGATGATGTTCAGAGCAATAATACTGCCGAGCACTGCATGAAACTAAAAACAATAAAGCGTCATGTGATCTTTAATGCAATGCATGTTTTTTTTCTTTTTGTGACTGCCTGAATTAAAGGGACAGTTCACCTAAAATAGAAAATTTAGTCATTGTTTGCTTACACTTGCATTGTTTCAAGATTTAATGTATTATTCAGTGAAAATCCTGACCTAAGCCATTGGTGTTTGTGCATGAAAATGCTTATGAAATACTCTTTGCTTTACAGTTCACATTGAAAGAAAGCCCACAAATCTTGCAGAAAACAACACTTTCAAAAAATGCAAAAAAACAAAAAAAGTTATTTTTTAAATATTTTTTGTGTATTTTATAATCATTCGATTTTTATCAGTTTATTTGTTTATGTGTTTTATAGTAATTCATGTTTTTAAAATGTGTTTTATACTTTTTATTCAAATTGTGTTGAATTTTTTTAATGGACATGTTCTTTTGTTGTGCTTTTCCTCAAAACAAAACCCCTGACCAACCCTATATAATTGATTTTTATTTGCATTATGTGTCATTTTTGGATAAACTATCTATTTAAAACAGGGGTCTCAAACTTAATTTACCTGAGGGCTGCTGGAGGCAGAGTTTGGGTGAGGCTGGGCAACATCAGGTTTTCAACACAAAATGATTATACTATTTAATTATAAATTTTTTATTTGTTTATTTTTTCCTTATTTTTTTTATTTTCCTTATTTTGTGTTAAATTGTGGATTTTTTAAACTCAAAATATGATGAAAAAGATAAACAAATAAAAAAAATACTAAAATAAATCAATCAGTAATAAATAGTAATAATATTAATAATGAATAGATTTACTGTTATCCGTCGTGCTGTTGTTACAAGAAAAAGAAGCAACACTGTCTTGTTATCATTTATTTTTTTGAATAATTTTCATCATATAGGAATATATGTAATTTTATTGTGTGAGGTGATGCAAATGACCCAGCAGGCACAGAAGAAAACATCATGGCAACACTGCTCTAACTTTTACTCTTTGGGAAATATTTCTCTGCCTGTGTCAAGCCCAGCTGATGTCACGTCCCCCAGAGTTATATACCCCACCGTGATTGGTGGGTTCATTCAGCTCCACACACAAAACTGTAAAGTGCTATACATATCAAACTCGTGGGCCGCACTAACAAACTTTCAAATTTAGACAGGGGCCACAAACTGTGGCACGCGGATCGTGAGTTTGAGACCCCTGCTTTAAAACTTGCCAATCTACACTCAAAAACATTATGCTTGTTCAAAATACTTATTTAAAATTATCTTAAACAACACAATTCTTGAGCGTTTTTGGGGACAACGTAATTGTTATATGTTCAATCTACTTAAATTAAGATAACTTACTCGATTTGTGTTGAATTGAATTGTGTTGAACCCTGCATTTTCTCAGAGCCTCAGTTTAAACATACATCTAGTTTCACTCTTGATAATAGCACTTTAATCTTCAAATGACTGTGCTTTCAGATAGATGTTCAGGTAACAATCTCCTTCTTTGTGTCTGTCCAGGTAAATATGTGTACCAGCCCATGACCAACGTTGCTCAGCTGCCCAGCACACCTGTGCCTGCGGCTCCGTCTGACTGCCCCGACACCATTGATCTGTCCATTTCTCTGACCGAACGCTTCCTCCGCATCTCCCCCTGCTTCCAGGCTCCACCCTGTCCAGAATCGCCCAAATACTGCAACATCGCCGAACTCTTTATTGACGACTATATCGTTAAACGAATCAACGGCAAGATGTGCTACGTGCAGCGGCCCCAGGCTCATGTGGAGCCAGCTCAAATGAACCCCATTCAGAAACAGCACACCGAAGACAAACAGATTGTTGAGGAAACTGTCAAAGGACCAAAAATGGGCCACTGCTCTTCGCCCTCTACCTCCGAGGACTCAGGGATCAACGCTTTAGGAGGACACTTCCTGGAGTCCTGCGAGGAAGAGTCTGAGGAAGAGGATGAGCTCAGCACGGATGGACACTCCAGTCCGGGGAGTCTATGGGACCAGGATGAATGCACCCTGCTGTCCCCTTCCAAATCTATGGTGGAGATTATTGAAAACATCGAAACGACCGTGTGATGTTTGCTGACTGCATAGTTAATAGTCTTTTTGTTCTTTTCACATCTCTCTTTCTCTCTGTTTGATGAGATTAATTTTTTGTGCTAAATGGAATATTGTATGTAGAGGACAATGCTTCACTCATAAAGGCAGTGCTACACTTTATGTTTGCATTTATTGTTGTTTTGTTGTTATAGTTGCCATGATCCTAATTCTGAGGTGCTCAGTACAAGATTTTAAATCTGAACTAGGGTGCTTTGGATAAAAACCAAATGTTATTAATCAATTTTCAGACCTGTGCCTTCACTGTATTAATCAATTGGGGGTTCTGAAGGAATTCATTCAATTCAGTTTTATTATTATCATTTTTATTAATATTATTTGTGTAGACAGATAGGGCTGGGTGATATTGCAAAAAAAAAAAATCTCACGATATCATGTTTCATGTCATTCGATATGGTTAATTATTGAATATTTTTAATATTACATTTATTAATATTAGGATTTTTGTAAAGTTTATTTATAATCAAATTTCGAGAGGATCACGTGCTTATTATTGTTCACAGCTGTTCCAACTTTAGCTAATGACTAATTATCCTATCAGACGATACTTAACTCACTATAAATAACAAGACTTTTCTCATCTCAATATCTTCATCATGAAGAAATCACCCACCCAACCCTACTTTCCCTCCTTTCAAATGGGCGACACGGTGGCCAGTGATTAGCACTGTTGCCTTAGAGCAAGAATGCCCCTGGTTTAATTCCCTTCCAAACCAAGTGACATTTCTGTGCTGAGTTTTGTTCGTTCTCCCCGTGATTGCGTGGGTTTTCCCCGGGTCCTCTGGTTTTCTCCCACAGTTTAAAAACAAGCACTCTAAACAGTTAATCCAAAATATTTTAACCAAACTCTGATTACACCTTCTGAGCATTCATATTCGACACTTAGCTACAATTAACAGGAGAGGGAGTCATCGAGATCTACCTGAGCTTAAACTCCCCTCTCGCCTTGCAACGGGAGGGAGCCCAGGGCTCGAGGATCTTATAAGCTCAGGGCTCTCATTACAAATTGTGAAGTTGAATGACCACATTACCCACTATGCTATTTTTTTTTTCAAATGGGGAGCTAGTGGCTGAGATGCACAAGAAAAGAAACCAAAAAGCCAATCGGGCGACATCCTTAAATCCTTTTTTATTTACAATCTCCTGACTGCTGCTAGCCACTGCATTTCATTTTCAGGTGCATGCCTGTGAGTTCCTTGACCATTTACAATGACTTTGCGCTCACGCTCCACTGGTGTCTCTCGTAACTAGGTGACCATCAAGCGTTTTCTCAGAGGATGACAATTAAACAATTCATTGCTGCAGCTCCGTTTAATGAGGAAAGTAAAAAGCGCTGCAGTGTTTGGGTGGGTTGTGTTTGTCTGAGGTAATTAGTCTGTAGTTATTACTGAAATGTGTATATTCTATACAAAGTGTAAAGCAGATTGGTTAGTTCTACTTCTATCAATTGCGGAGCGTTTACGGCATTCTGAAAAGTTCCGATGTTTTCAACTAGGTGCGGCTAGAAAATGAGCGTGGTTCTTGTACGCGCTACTTGCACAACATGTGCACGTTGCTCATATATGCACGTCGTGCAAGTCGCCCTCCATTGAAAAAGACAAACTTACACCTTGAGTTTATTGTCATTGCTTCCAAGGTGCGCTTTTATCGATATTGATAACGGTGTTTGGTCAATATATCGCTACTGATTTTATTCCCCAGCCATATAGAGAGGTCATACTTTTGTGGGAAATTTTGGATTTATTAAATTGATTCTTGACAATTGATGTTAGAAAGCAGAGAAAAGATGATCGGCTAAATCGACCATATTTTAATTTGTACATCTTGTGAAAAATCTGACTTTTTTAATAAGTAAATCTTGATGTTAGTACAGTAAACTGTTGAAGCTTTGATTGACTCACAACTAATGCAAAACTATTGGTGAATACTAGCCTTACTAATTATAAAAAATGTTAAATATTGAGATGTGACTATAGATGGCAAGCAACGTGAACATTCATCAAAATGTTTTTCTTTTGTGTTCCATGGAAGAAAGAAAGTCTGGTCTGAAACAGGACTGTAAATGAACTGGGCCTAATTTTAGACATGATTATAAACGCTATGCAAAGTCAGGGCCAGTAGCCTACTGTTGTAGTTAGTCTGTTGACAAATAGTACTGAGCTACTCACTGCGACCTGAGTTCAATTCCCAGCTCAAGGTCCTTTGCTGATCCTTCCCCTTTCTCTCAGCTTTCCTGTCTCCACTATACTGTCCTCTAAAGGTTAAAGCCCCTAAAAATATTATACACAATAATTATACTATACTGGCGGTTCATTCCACTTTGGTGACCTCAGATTAATAAAAAGAATAAGTCGAAAAGAAAAATAAATGAATGAATTGCACGATACTATTATGCCTGTCACAACAGCATATATGCAGAAGGACTCTTAATTTTGCAGTAACCTGGGGCAAGCGGTTCCGGTTTATGCGCCAGCCTGCTGATCCTGCTGAGCGCATGCATGTAAACGGCTTTTCATCTGTTAATGCTTCAACAACTAAAGGAATGCTGAAGTCTATTTAACTGATTATATTTTAATTACAGTACAACATTGGTGCTGTAAAAGGAAATGTATAGAATTGAAATAAGTGGCATTAACCATTCACCAGAAGTTTATTGGTATGGGAAGAAACACTAGCTGAAGTCAAGTGTGTAGCCAATCACGGATTTTTCTGATGAGTTTATGAACACAGTAGCCAATCAGGCTTTTAGTATAGTCATCAGTAAAATGCTGGAGCGTTAAATGGAAACACAATTCTGTGCTCTCGCAATTGTTTACATGAACAACAATTTCCTGCATTTGCATTCAGGGACTATAGTGATGTAAAATCTAGAAATTACAGTAAATAAGTTAAATAAACAAATGATAATTTCATGCTAAAATAAAAAGGTCAAATAAATAATTACAATTAATTGTAAATTAATAAAATTATAATTAAATTTTAGTTAATAAAATGATAAATGAAAATAAATTATTAAATCCTGCCCCCAGTGGGAATTACACACACAAAAAATACTTTGTAAGTCAATGGCTGTTTTTCCCAACACTCTTCAGAATATGTTCCAAAGAGAAGAATCTCAAACAGGTTTGGAACTAGTGTATGATGAGTAAATGACAATATTTTAATCTTTGGGTGAACTATCCCTTAAAATAGATTTTTTTAATAAACAAACTTTAATGAAATGCTTTACCCTAAATTTAGGAATTCTTTAAAGAATTTCAACGCGATTATATCATGAATATGCTAATTAGAACAACATCATCTAACGATTTTTCAAGCAGGCTTTGTGTGTTTTCATTGACGGCATTAGCAACAGTGGGTGGCGATAAAGAGTCCGTCATTTTATAGTGCAGCCTTAAAATCAACAAAGGACTTACTCCATCACAAATGCGACCATTTGAGCTGTGTTTGAAGGTAAAGGTAAAACACCTGCCACTCTGGACTCTTCTAAATGCACATTCCATTCTCACTGAAGCCGTGCAGTTTTCTTGAGAGCAGTGATACTGAAAGCTGACATGTGCTCATCCATCAGTAAAGAGGTCAGTGTTTTGATATGCTTTTTTTTTCAAAGACTCTCAAAAGGCCAGACTAACAGACAAGATATAAAATGTATTAATCTGTGCTTTTTGGAAATCAAACCCACATGAAAATAACAAAAATGAAGACATGCTGGTGTTTTTAACCTCCCATGATGGTTTAACCGTATTTAGCTAGGTTCACCATTCCCTGTAGTTTGGGAGAGAAGTGTGCTTTGTTGGTCTTTGATAATTTAATAGTCTCTAAGTGCAGAATATGACTAGCCTTTTAAATCACTGACTTACATAAGACCGTTGAAAGCCTTCTGCAGTGCCGACATAATGCATTTCCATCAAGGCTAATCCTATTCCAAAACAGAGACCATGAATAAGGCACATTATTAACATTGGACGCAAATTATATTCATGCTTCTAGAACCGATATTAGTCATAAATGTTCCCAACAATTATGGGCGTCATTGTCAAATCCATGCTTTTAGTTCTCTCGCCAGGTCTAACAAAGAAAACAGGTGCCTTGAGGTTACTTTTAGCTCCATTAGATTTCATATTATGGTGGTCACTAAGATTTTTCTTAGTGAAGATTATTGCACTTTTCATGCAACATTCACTTAATCTTGGGACTTTTTTCTCTTTTGCTTCAATCATTAATAAGATGTCCTTGAAATCTACAGACTAATTTGCTGAAGTTTGCTTTCGAATGGTTTTCAGAAACCATTGGTAATTCTGAATACCAATTAGGGCGGCACAGTATATCCTTTTATTTTTGAAACCGTAATGTGCGAATATGCAATAATCATAGGATCTGCACTGTTGCGTTGTGATTAGAAAGACCAGTAGCCACATTTTAGAAGATGATTTGTGAAGTCATCGCAAACTTAAACTCTTATAGTGAAAGATTTTCACTTGTGTTTTAAAGAACTGTGACTAAGATATCAAATACATTTAAACCAAGAAATTCTAAAGTCTAGAGATTTAACAAAGATTAAATTGTATTTAAAGTGCCCCTATTATGCTTTAAAAATGTCATATTTTGATTTTGGGAGTCTTCAACAACAGGCAAATATGCATGCAAGGTCAAAACACACTTTCATTGTCTTGAAGTATTTATTTTTACTTAATTATCCCAACGACTCCCAAATGATTCGTTCAGTGATTCATTTGTTCCCAAACCCCTCCTTAGGGCGATGCTAATCTGCGCTGATTGCTCCAATGACCCAGTCTGCTGCGTTCAGCGGGAGACAGAGAGAAATGTCTAGCACAGTTTACCAACAAGTAGAGTGTAGTGTAAAGTACAGAGTGCATGTGTGAGCCCAATGCAGGAGTGCATTAAAGGTCACCTATGGTGAAAAATCTATTTTTCAAGCTGTTTGGACAGATATATGTGTAGGTATAGTGCATATGCCATCATATTGGGGTGAAATAAACACACCCAGTCCTTTGTTTTTTCTCAATTTACCAACATAAAAATGGTGGACCAATTGGAGCGGTTTTCAGACCCACAGCAATTTGACGTAGGAGTGTGGTCCC